CCGCACTGGTTTAAGAACAAGTGTGAGCTAGGCTATTGCAGCATTACAACGAAATATTCAACGCGGAATTGACGTACCCGACTGTTTGGGTGGTCCGTATTATTATCTAGTATCGAGATCAAGGAAAGTAATGTAAAACAGAGACAACCCTCGTCCAGCTTGTTTCCAGTTTTTTTTTTCCAACGGCCCTTTTCAGGGCCACCTATCTCTCCCGAAAGAACGCTTTCATCCTTTGCTTTGCCAACACAAACAACAATCCATGCAAAAGAACCCACATCCTCCTAGTCCTCTTGGAGGCACACGCCTACGAGTGACACCACGCCTCTATGTGTGTGTGTGTGTGTGTGTGTGTGTGTGTGTGTGTGTGTGTGTATGTATGTGTACACGAGTGGCATCACGTTTGCATGGAGACACGAGTAAAACACCACGTATGTCTGTCGATCTCTCTCTATCCGTATCCATATACATATGATAAATAATACTATTTATAAACGTCTGTTTGTTGACACGAGTAAAACACCACGTTTGCATGGAGACACGCGTGACACTACGTTTGCATGGAGACACGAACTACATCACGTTTGCATGGAGACACGAATGATAGCACGCATGTAGGCATACACGTGTGCCAACTCCTCGGCGTGGATGAACGAGTGACAACGTCATAATAGTATTTATAAACGTCTGTTTGTAGTCACGCGTGGCACCACGTTTGCATGGAGACACGAGTAAAAAAACACACGCCACGTTGGCATACACGAGTGCCAACACCTCGGCATGGATGAGCGAGTGACAACGTTACGCATGTCTATCGATCTATACTTCTAGTAACGTGTGTTTGTAGTCACGCGTGGCACCACGTTTTGCATGGAGACACGCGTGACAGTACGCATGTAGGCATAAGTACACGAGCGCCAACACCTCGGCATGGATGAGTGAGTGACAACGTCATAATCATATTTATAAACGGCTCTTTGTAGTCACGCGTGGCACCACGTTTACATGGAGACACATGTCTGTGCATGTCGATTCACCTTTAGAATTCAGGCGTCCGTTCCACAAGATGATCGTAGCGCTAAGGTGATCGCCGCTCACATACTGTAACTTAGACGAACGACTGTCATTGCGATCGCCTTGTGGAACGTGACCTTGCACCTCAAAGTTTACAATCACGTCATAATACCCGATGATGTCATTTGTGGAATTTTGTCGCTTCGATCCTTCAGCGATGTGACGTCAACCTAGCAACAAAGTTGGTTGGTCATCGACTGTGTATATAGGGGGTGTAAGTAGGTCACGGGACTACGCGAGACCTAACGTTATTTAGTACTTCCGGTGACAAACAACGTCTCGCGGCAATGGCGACAGCAGTGTCACTTCGGGCAGCATTCGTCACCACTCGCCCCTTTCCGTAACCTGCAAGAAGACTCGTCCCCCTATCGATGAATGTTATGTGCGAAAATACGACAAACCAATCAGAATGCGCGTATGATTTCAAGTTCTTCGTCAAAGAATCCCTCAGAAATAATTTCTGTTTTTACATATGTGTTGCATCTAAAAATATACCCAAGACACAGTTAAATGTGTTCAATCATACTGTATAATTTCGCATGTCCTGATGTGCTTTTAATTGCGTCTGAAATATAAATGATATATGGGGAAATATATGTGAACCATTGCGCAACGAGTTGACAATTGTTTTATGTATGCCCGTTTGCGCTAAGACGGAACCCAGTTGCAAAAATGGCCACGAGAGGGGCACGAGTCGCTATTCGGCTTGTCCCGGAATAACACGAGTTGGTCACGAATGTTCGGGCAGGGCCCGGCGAATCATATTTGGAAAACGCAGGTGTAACTTAGAAAAACATGCCACTGTCACAGTCATTAAAACACTCGAGATGGGGAACATGAATAGCAAGTGTTGGCTTGTCAAAGCAGTTGCAGTGTTGTCAAGACGTCCTATGGTCGATGTCAAACTGGCCGCTACCCATTCATAAATATTGAGGTAAGTTTTCACTTTTTGCACACTTCTGATAAGTTGGTATAATTGTCTGTGTTGATAAGGCAATACTGATCGGTTCATCATCACACGTACAATGGTGATGGCGTTGAAAAATGAGCATAAAACATTCGTTCTGAAGGTATTTGCAATATGCTCTCGGTTTGTGCACCATACAATGTTATGGCAAATTTCCATTACATCTATCCTGAGCCTTTTCCAATAATAAATGTTCATCTCTGATAGGGAACGTCACAGAATTATATTTGTAGGTCCAGGGGAGATGACACAAACTATAGTCATATTTAAAGAAGGCCTATCTAGTGCATGTTGGCAACGCAAATTTTGTCAATACTTAATGTTGTGCAAGGAGACTTATGGGGGTGCCTGTGTTAATAAATAAGGATATGTGCCAATATCACGATGATAATTTTATGTGCACTGAAAAATCAGGTTTTATTCACACACAAAAATATTAATCTAATTTGTAAATAATGATGATTAAATCCTTGCAGTGTTTGTTATAGGCCTAAAGATCTCTGAAAAGTGACCTCACTTAAATGTATTCTGTATGATGTGAATAGACTTGACCATTACAACCCCATTTAGCATTTGTTTTGCATATTCAGTTGAAGGTACAATGTACATGCTTAATTTATTAATTATATCTTGATGTAGGCATTGTAAGAAATGGTTGGTATTTTAGAAGTATATATTTTATGATCTCATAAGTGTTATTTATCTTTTGCAGTTGGACCATATTTCCATGTTTGAGGGGAGAAAGATTTCCTCATCTTACTCACGAGTAGATGCATATGGATCACCAGAATTACCTTGATGCCAAGCATAACTGCACCTCAAGAGCATCTCAGACTATAACATATCTTCAGATTTCTTGGAATATTTTGTGGTCAAGCATTACATTGCCTATGAAAGAACAACTCCTGTTGTGTATACAGGTGTAAACATATTAAAGTTCTATCTGAACATTTTGCTGAAGTATTGGCTCTGTAAATGATGTATGTGACCATCAGAATACACCATATACACTGGACACTTGCTGGAACAGGACCTACTTGTCATCAACATGGTGTTGCAGAACATCTTGGGACTCTCTCATAAAGTCCAGTGTGAATCTAGATACTGACACCAGTAACAGTGCATGCTGGCACATTTATTTGTTCAGGCTTGGCATTTGGGAATATTTGCCATGAATGTTTAATACTCATGACCTTGGAATAAAATTACTGAATAGATCTGAAGCTTATTTATTGTTTTTTGTCTGGAATAATGCCATACAAATTTTTTTTTAATATTTCTGGTATCAGCCATGATACTGAATTGATATTGAATATAATATCATAACAATGCACATGGAATGTGTGATAATAGATTTCCAGTTTATGGGTCAAAATTTTCCAAGAAAATACAACAGATGCTTACCAATGAAAATTTAACTTAACCAATGGCATAACAGTTGTTGCTTTGTGAAATGAATTCTTTGTTGAAATATCAACATGTCTTGTTTTTGCATCGCTGTTTTAAGGTCCAGCATACAAATTACACTGATTCCTAGAACAATAGCCAATAAACATTAACATTTCTTGACCAGTAATCTTAAAACAGATTGGTCCAAATGGATAGCGGAAAATGTGAAATGACAGTTACCTCATTTGTTTGACTTGGATTTATTGGCAGAATATTTAAAATACACAAATATATGAAAAATAGGTGCAATTGTTTCTATCTCTTCATCAAGTCAATATGGTTGCACTACATTGTGTTCATCAGTGTTGACTGAGTGATAAGTTGAATCTATTAATGTTTTGGACTTGTGGCAATTTTTTTACTTGGTTCAATTGAGCCTCACAACCAGAAATATTAATTTAAAAACCCCTACCATTTATCACAATGAATCTTTTATTCTTGCCCCTGCTATCAATCACAGTCTGCGGTGTTATAACAATTATATTGCTGACGAGGTGTAACACTTTTATTTCTTCCCTCAGAAAAACATTACACTTCATTTATTAGTAAGTATCTTTCTTAATGTAGGACATGTCATTGGTGATCGCCTCCATAATTCAGTGTATTTGGCTTGCATTTTGTAGCGCTTCCGTTGCCAGCATTTACGGTGACATGCCTATCCGCGTGAACTAGTGCTGCTTTCGAAATGCGCGGCCGCCAAAGCTAACTCTGTAGACGGTACCAAGTGAACTACCACGCTTGGTTGTCACCTCTGTTTGACAGTCGTAAAAGTTTACTTATTTCAGAATAATATGATCGGTTATTTGTCAATACTGTCAGGTTTATCGGTTCCTGACTGACAACTGACAACCATGGGACCGTTCGTAAAGGTATGTGTTCTTTTCTTTACCTTTAAAATAATTTTGACAACCAGTGGTACTATCGTTCAGACGTGTATTTATAGTCTCAGTGGACAGTGTTATCACTCAGTCAACACTGATGAACACAATGTAGTGCAACCATGTTGACTTGATGAAGAGATAGAAACAATTGCACCTATTTTTCATATATTTGTGTATTTTAAATATACTGCCAATAAATCCAAGTCAAACAAATAAGGTAACTGTCATTTCACATTTTCCGCTATCCATTTGGACCAATCTGTTTTAAGATTACTGGTCAAGAAATGTTAATGTTTATTGGCTATTGTTCTATGAATCAGTGTAATTTGTATGCTGGACCCTAAAACAGCAATGCAAAAACAAGACATGTTGATATTTCAACAAAGAATTCATTTCACAAAGCAACAACTGCTATGCCATTGGTTAAGTTAAATTTTCATTGGTAAGCATCTGTTGTATTTTCTTGGAAAATTTTGACCCATAAACTGGAAATCTATTATCACCCATTCCATGTGCATTGTTATGATATTATAATCAATATCAATTCAGTATCATGGCTGATACCAGAAATATTAAAAAACTTTTTTTGTATGGCATTATTCCAGACAAAAAAACAATAAATAAGCTTCAGATCTATTCAGTAATTTTATTTCAAGGTCATGAGTATTAAACATTCATGGCAAATATTCCCAAATGCCAAGCCTGAACAAATAAATGTGCCAGCATGCACTGTTACTGGTGTCAGTATCTAGATTCACACTGGACTTTATGAGAGAGTCCCAAGATGTTCTGCAACACCATGTTGATGACATGTAGGTCCTGTTCCAGCAAGTGTCCAGTGTATATGGTGTATTCTGATGGTCACATACATCATTTACAGAGCCAATACTTCAGCAAAATGTTCAGATAGAACTTTAATATGTTTACACCTGTATACACAACAAGAGTTGTTCTTTCATAGGCAATGTAATGCTTGACCACAAAATATTCCAAGAAATCTGAAGATATGTTATAGTCTGAGATGCTCTTGAGGTGCAGTTATGCTTGGCATCAAGGTAATTCTGGTGATCCATATGCATCTACTCGTGAGTAAGATGAGGAAATCTTTCTCCCCTCAAACATGGAAATATGGTCCAACTGCAAAAGATAAATAACACTTATGAGATCATAAAATATATACTTCTAAAATACCAACCATTTCTTACAATGCCTACATCAAGATATAATTAATAAATTAAGCATGTACATTGTACCTTCAACTGAATATGCAAAACAAATGCTAAATGGGGTTGTAATGGTCAAGTCTATTCACATCATACAGAATACATTTAAGTGAGGTCACTTTTCAGAGATCTTTATAACAAACACCGCAAGGATTTAATCATCATAATTTACAAATTAGATTAATATTTTTTGTGTGTGAATAAAACCTGATTTTTCAGTGCACATAAATTTATCATCGTGATATTGGCACATATCCTTATTTATTAACACAGGCACCCCCATAAGTCTCCTTGCACAACATTAAGTATTGACAAAACTTGCGTTGCCAACATGCACTCGATAGGCCTTCTTTAGATATGACTATAGTTTGTGTCATCTCCCCTGGACCTACAAATATAATTCTGTGACGTTCCCTATCAGAGATGAACATTTATTATTGGAAAAGGCTCAGGATAGATGTAATGGAAATTTGCCATAACATTGTATGGTGCACAAACCGAGAGCATATTGCAAATACCTTCAGAACGAATGTTTTATGCTCATTTTTCAACGCCATCGCCATTGTACGTGTGATGATGAACCGATCAGTATTGCCTTATCAACACTGACAATTATACCAACTTATCAGAAGTGTGCAAAAAGTGAAAACTTACCTCAATATTTATGAATGGGTAGCGGCCAGTTTGACATCGACCATAGGACGTCTTGACAACACTGCAACTGCTTTGACAAGCCAACACTTGCTATTCATGTTCCCCATCTCGAGTGTTTTAATGACTGTGACAGTGTCATGTTTTCTAAGTTACACCTGTGTTTTCCAAATATGACTCGCTGGGCCCTGCCCGACGTGACACTGCTGTCGCCATTGCCGCGAGAGGTTGTTTGTCACCGGAGGTACTAAATAACGTTAGGTCTCGCGTAGTCCCGTGACCTACTTACACCCCCTATTAGAGATTACTACACGAGTGTCTGTCAGATACCATAAGCTGGGCCCCGTCTCCAATATCGTCAACTTGCATAGGGAGCCGGGAACCAGCTTATCAGTTAGATACGCTTTGTAACAACGAGTTGTAAGATCAATGGTGTCTGACAGACACGAGTTTAGTAATCTGTTTCTTACACACCCTAAAATCGTACCTTTTTAGCATCGAACCGATGAATTTTGTCTATTCTCATGATTTCAGTAGCGCATTAATACATATAACACCACTGTCATAAGTGACGTCATCCTATGTGCTGCTTACTACTCATAAATAATGTGACCCTACACAAAAAGGTCTCCGTCCTATCTGTGGATTATCAAGGCGATGATCAAAATGCAAACTAGACAAAAACCAAGAACACCTGAGTGCCAAGTTGAAAATTTACACCTCAAAGAAATTACCAAATATGTACAACAATGTTTACTTCCGTATGACATCACTACCGGTGACCGACTTTTACAAAATGGCGTGTTCACTGACAACATTACGCGGGATTTCCAGAGGAGGTTTTCGTTGATTAAGGGATCGTATACACATAAATGTGTCACGTAAGTAATCAGAAACATTCTGACAATCTGCGTACTGTTATTTGTTTACCATGTTTTCCAATGTAACAAAGAGAATTAGTCAGAAATGCAGATAACTAGGCCTACCGTCATCGTTGTGCGTGATTTAGCGTCAGTCATGGCGTCACACAGGACGGAAACTTTTACGGCTTCTGTTGAATTTACCACATCATTGTAATGTATATATGTGTAATTCAATAATTAGTGCAACGACACTCTTCCCATGAATATTCTCAAGCGCGTGATCGAGCCAATGTATGCAACAATTAGACGAAAGTACCTCTTTTAATGCTACAGTGTATAATCCAAATTTTGCTTTGTTTACATTTCAGCAAGTACAATTTTCCGAGCACAGTTTTCGTTTCCATACCTAATTTATTTCGCATGATTTCATCTAGATAACTTGCATCGGTGACAAAGACCATTTATCCATTGTTTCGAAAATGTATGAGGAATTCAGGGATGCATGTATAGCAGCTGAGTTTGAAATATACCTGATCGAATATAGGCGTCTCACAATCCAATATGGCGGAACGTAGACTTCGGCGTTCGTGTGTGCATATTTTCCAAAACATTCTAAACGATTCTAGGCTTATCAGCGACGTTTCAGAATTATCATTAGTGATTTGATACCCGTGATCGCTAATATGCTATTTTTCTACTTTAATTATTCGAGTAAATATCCGATATTAGGATTTCTAAACACACAGTAAATATTTATATAACGCCGTGAATTGTGATTTGGCGAGATTTACAATGTACCTAACTTTCAGTCACTTTCAGTAATTTTGAATTGCCTCAAATGACAGTAAATGATAAACAGAAGGGGGAATTCAAAACTGTGAAGTGTCTGCGTGATGTATTTTGAATTTTATTCGATTTCGAAGTGAGGGTTGAAGAGAAGGGACATATGTGTCGCTGTGGCAGCCAGGGGGTTTACACTCTGAAAAAACGATAATGTTGACATAACAATTACAGATAATGTAACTGATAATAATAACAAACAAACTCGCAGACGAGGACGAGTTTGTTTATTTTTATTATTAATTACACGGTCCTGTTGTACAATACAGACGTAAGTGAACATTCGACTGAAGCACGAGCAACTTATGAATGACTTACACTCAGGAAAGTAGTCCGTCATCATCTGACCCCAGGTCATCACCATGGAGTAGCCAATCACGGGCCTGGAATTCGATCTCACGCATATGTTTGATACCGAACTCCGGCGCAGTGGTGACTCAGCATAACACCACTGCCACAGGCTAATTTGCATATCACGTGACCGGACTTTTCTCTTGTTTGTAAACAAACGCGCTTTTTCAGAAATCAGTGTAGAACGGACTAATGCAAGTATTTGGGGGCGCTTTACATATTGTTTTGCATAACTATATAGATATGCTACTTCAACTGCGACAGTGAGTTGCATGACAATATATATTTTTGCATCAAAGTGACCGTGTCGCTAGCTCTCCGTTGGGCTTCGATGACAGCACGTGGAGCCGTACAACCAATGTAAACATAGGATAACTACGCAAAAACAAGTAGATTTTTACGTATTTGCATACTTTTTCAATGAAAGTTAACCATTCTTTGACATTTGTTTTTGAAAATGTGTAGACTTGTCAAACATGAAACGGATGAAAAGCATATGCAATATCTTGAATGGACTGTGAAAGATGTGACGAATCGTCACATGGCGCTGGCCTGTGGCAGAGGTAATATGCTGGCTGGCTGCCGGCCGCATGGAACTCTGGGTAGGAGAGTGGTTTGATACCAGTTATCTCAAATGGGTTTCTCACCCACAGGTGTGTAAGAAAAGCTCGTCTCAGTGATCTATCATCTCCACACGCAATCGGCACACACCCTGCACAACCTGCGACCTTCGGATTGTTAGCCTGACAGCTAACCGACTGATCGAGCTACGTCCACACTGTTAAACTTAGTGCAAATTTACCTAGTCACGTCTATGACGTTACAGAACTGAACGAAAAGGGTCGACACTTACGAAGGTTACGGGTAGGCATGGTGTCTCGTGACTTTAGTCTACGGACACTTACGAATGATGCCGATGCCATTTGGCACACTTGTCCCATTCCGTAATTTACAAGATACCGGGTGGTGAGGAATGAGCCTATATGCCGCGAACTGAAAACGGCTTCAGGCGTCAGACGTCAGACGTCGAACTCGCGAGTGCGCATGAATGATATTGTATTTAATAGTTCGTCGGGTGATTTTTGTGACAGAAAAGTGTGATAGGGAACACTGTAAGGATGATGTGGATAATAGTAAGGAACGATAGGGGAATAAGCATGACTAGTGACGACACAACGGTGAGTTCGCTTTTGAATCAGTACTGAAAAAATGTAGCCGGTGAAAGTGGCTTGTGTGAATGTTCCAGGCATAGGAGTCCGTATCTAAAAATAGACGCCCTCATGCATATTCATGACCATCTCCACACGCGAGCCCGAAGGACGAGAAGGAATGCAACAGAAAACTACTGCATAGACTGGTTCCCGTTCGTTCCTGCGACAGACTGGATTGAAAAGGGGAACAAGTGCAGCGACACCAAGCGGAGCACCCGGGAACCAGTCTAGAAAATACTACAAATTACGTCATAGGGTATGATCACGTGTTTGAAAAGTTTGTGGTACTGGGCCCCGTTCCACAAAGCGATCTTAGCGCTACGATTGTCGTAAGTCAGTGTTAACCTTTAGCCTGCTGAATTATTTTCACACTTCTTACCCCTGCCTGCTGGATTAATTTTAGCATAAGGCGCTCTAAAGAGGGTGGGTGATTTCAAACAGTCGGTGCCTCATTAAACAAGGGCCAATTGAAGAAATATTTTGCACATTTATTCCTCATAGAAAACTACACAGTACTATATAAAAATATCCTGATGTTTTCAATCATACCAAGGTTAAGACCAAAGCGAACACAAAATTTGTAAATTTTCTTGAACTTACCTGAATTGCGTTATTGAAGGTGGTTTGCATTTCATGCTAGGAACCTTTTAATATCGTAACATTTGTGCAAATTGATTTCAATAATCATATCTCCGATATCTTAATTTTAATTGAGTAAAGATTTGGGTTTTTTATATCAGCAAATAACAGCGCGATGGTAAATTAGGAACCATTTCAGTGAATTTATTATCTAAACGTTAAACAGAAAAATAACTTAATTTTCGAGGTCATCATGTCGGTTGCAGAAATACGAATATTCGGGTTAATCTCACGTGTCATGTTATAAAATTTGCAGGAAAAAATAAATGACATGAATATTCAGTAAACCTAATTTCAAGCGTTTTGGTTGAATATTTACGATATACAAAAATAAACAACCCGTGTCATGATGCTAGCAGACGTCCTAAAATCAAACATGGTGCATTTCGCCCGACCTCCGCATAACTTATTGCTATTTTAATATCAACAAAGTTTACATTGCCTTTATAAATATAACTTGGCGAAAGTTGACGATCTTCTCAATCGAATAATGTTTTATTCGTCATATTCCGATTAATATGACGAGAGGAAATAAAGATCGTGAATTCTGACAGCACTATTTCAATAAGTGCAAAGGTCACGGATGTGATGTCGCAGACAGGGGTATAGTCTGCTGATAATCTTTCGTAACAAAACAATTACAGTAAATTTTGAAATATTTCGCCTATCACATACGGCAAAAACATAAGTCGATACACAGTATCAGTAATCACCACTAACATGAAATAAAAATGTGACTTTGACGATATAATTCGCGTATTAGTTAATCCGTTTGACCTTGCATGCTCCCGTGACCCGGAAACGGTAGACGATAAATCAACATGCCACATGCAAGTTTCTCGGTATCTTTTATTTGACCTTCTGTTGATATTTAAGAATCGCCATTCAATGTTACGGTGAATATAAATGGGACATGATTCATATTTCTGCGATGTACACGCTGATAAGTTTCACTACAACAAGTGTATCCCACGTAATACGTCTATGTATATTACCCACAGCAAGATCACCCTCTTCAACAGGTGCGCGAAAATGGGCTTGACAAAACGTGTTTCAAAATAACATCCCCGCGTTGCTGAATATGATAGGGTATATATAAGCAATAAAACGCTTCGTACATATTTTCGGTGTTAGTTCCACATTACATTTGGGATAGTTTTCCATTCGGGAATACATTCATAGATTCTAGCATGATTTTAGAACAGTTTCACGATGGCTTTCTAAATTTATTCCAAAAATATTAAGACCACATTGATGATAGAATTGTAATTGTTTAATTATTTACAGCTGTTTACAGGTTTTAAAATTTTAAGTTATATTTAGTTATTATTTTTTCCACAATGATTGTGTGTGTGGCCAGTAAATATTGGTCTTTGCATCAGCACAG